TGTCTGAGCACCATAAGTTGTGGTGATGGCTTTGTAGCCAATGGCATGTGTGTCCATGGGAGCAAAGTGTGCTGCTACAGGCCAACAAAGATAGCTGAAGCTGGAAGAAGCAACAAAAACAAAAACAAACAAAGACTGTAATGCAAGGTAGATCTGTAAAATCAACATCCTTCTGGAACGTGACCTCACTTTGACCCATTAATGCAAGCACACGGATAACCTGAACATAGCAACCCATCACTGGGAAAAAGGCTTAGTCTATCAGACCTTTAATAATGACCCTCTAAAACTGTTGTCGCAGTTATCAGGTTTTGTGCTGCACTCATACTGCACAAGCTCATCCTGTGAAAATATTATCCTGCCTCTGCAAAAAGGATATGGTGTCATACCATACAAATGCCTGAATCCACCAGATTCATTCTTTCACAGGTTAACAACCTGTTCCAAGCACTACAACATTACGGATCTCTACTCCAAACAACAAAGGCTTCATATAAAGGCCTCAGTAACTGTCAGAATGAGCAAAACACACATGGATCGCAATAGGATGATATTATAATGATATTAGTCATATTACACATGTATACACAGACACGTAGTTTCATTTACCTGCATAAAAACGTAACAAGGAGCCAATTTCTGTGTTAAGCCCCTCCTCCTGAACTCTCCACGGGTTCTTAAATCCAAGCTTAAAGAGAAAGTCATTCTGGATCTGCAGAGGCCTCTCATCTGGGCTAAGCCTCCTAACAGCTTCACCATGCAGCTGAACATAGAGTGTGGGGCTGGAATTATAAGAATCTCCATTCTGGTGTGCTGTGAGCCCTGTTTTTACGGCCCCCTGGCCACAGTCCGGATCTTGGATGTCAGGTGTGTTACCTGTAGAACCAGCTCTTGACAATGAGCCGGAACTACTGCTGGGTGGGAGGCTGCCCAGACTGTGTGGGCTGAGTCTGCTATCTGGCCCCACGTCGCTTGTCACGTCGCTTAAATGTCCCACGTTGCACTGCTTGTAGTTGGCAGTGACAGCAGTGATGCCATTAGTATGATGCTGGGAGATGGGGTCCATACTTGAGCTAGATGCTGGACAGTCGAGTTCCAGTTCGTCTGACGAGCTCCCGTACATGTCATGGCCCTCTGTGGCACTATCAAAGGAGGGACTGAGGATGGATGCCTCAGTTCCCAGGATCATGTCATCACTCAGGGAGTCCCTGTGTTCACTGAGGCGGGCCCCGGAGCTCAGGTCGTCAAATGCACTGCTTTCCACATCTGAGCCAGAGTTTAATCCATAACTGTCCACACCGTTCCTGTGCTCCGAATCATCGTCATTGGGGGTATCCATGTTAGAGTTAGAATTCAAGTCTGACAGCGAACAGGTTATGTTGTCTTCTGACTCCGGGGTGAAAAGTTTTCCATCAACGTCCTGTTGCTTTTGCCTGACATCTGCGTTCTCCATGAGGAGAAGTCTCAACCTGTCATTTGGACGGGTTCTTAAATCTGTGGTTTCCAGTGGGGTCAGGTGGCTGCATTTTATACTCGAGTCTTCTTTTACCTTGTCCTGATTATCATTATATTCATAATTCATGTTACAGTTCCCATTTTGGTCCGTCTTGGAGGCGTCTTTACAAAAAATGCGCATTACAGAGCTCGACTTGCTGGAGAGTTTACTCAGTCGGAGGGCCACCTCGCCGGCTGTGGTGTCCATAGTGCAAAGCACCGGCCTGGGATACGAGGGCGTCAGTCTGTCGTGGACGTGTATGGCGCCCCGGTGGAGATCTGCTCTCACCCACTCGCGATCTGCGGACTGCAGCTGCATGTTCTGTCGGTGCTTCATCAGAGTCTTCCTATCCAGACTTCGAGTATGTAAAGACGCAGAGGACAGGGCCGAGTTCATCTTCGCGCCGCAAGCGGCGGTGACAGCTGAGGTGGTAGTGGTGGCTGCAGCTGCAGCTGAGAGGTTCCTCTTCAAGCGCCTCCGTCGCAACAGGAGCGAGCTGGAGTTGCTGGATGAGCTCCGGCCATTAGACGCCACGGCTCGGTTTGACGCACTAGTCCCCGCTGTAGAGGCGGAATGAGAAAGGCTATTCCCGTTCTTTGCCTCAGCGCGGGAGGGTGCCAAACATCCACCGCCATCATCCGCTGGAGTCCCCTGGGCGACAGACAGTCCGCTGGGCTTCTTCATTAACTTGGTCGCGCCTCCATCTGACGCGCCATCCTCAGCGACAGCCTGTACACTTTCCATCCCTGCCAATGAAAAGTCCCCCGCTCTAAATAAATAACGGTGCGCACTTGGTTATGCCTAAAAGCTCTACATTTAAAAGCCCGAATACGTGCCCGCCGCGCTAAATGTCCGCCAACTGGGCGGTGTTGCTGAGTTATTCCACTAGTAGTCATTCACTCCTCGCCTTCCTTTCCCTGTCGGAGTCTCCTCCGCTGCTCCCAAAAAACATCTTACTGATTAAATTCGCTGAGAAAGAGGCTGGGCGAGCAGGGACAGATCAGGGCGGAGACGTGACTGTGCGTCCCATTTGGACCAAAACACAGCGCTAGAATATGAAATGAACGTCGGCCGACCTCCTACGCAAATACCGACTAATATATATTCATGAGGAGGACACAAGATGGGGGTCGCTAACAACAACGCGGTGAATTGTGGGAAGAGTATTGCGCTAGCTAGCGTCTTGTAGTCGCCGCTGCCGGGACGAAACTGTTAAAAAAATACATTTCCCAGCAAGCCTTTTTGCACTTTCAGTCAAGTGAGGCGGCGAACAGTTGAGAGGCGTAAACATAGCGCCTATAAAATGTTTGGTGTTGCGTTACAGGAGCACGTCCTGTGTTTACTGTGGCGAACTCACCCTTTGCTACTTGTACGCTAACAGCGAGTAAAACTGTAAGACGCAGTCACACAGTGAGTTGTCAATGTCAACTGTTGAATATGTGAGGAAACTTTCAACTGTTGTCGAGGATTCCTTGCACATTGGCTAGCTTACACGGCGGTCATTTATCTTAAAAATAAAAGAGAAAGTTTTTGTTATGCTACAAGGTTAAACTAAGCCTCGCTGTAGGTCTAAATGTTTTAGATAAGTGGTGACGAAGCAAATAACTTCGGCACCATCTCATCAGGACGCCATTTCACAAGGCTCAGTGTACGTCGACTTATTCTGTTGTATTTTCCGCCATCTAGTGGAGCGTTGAGGCCACAGCGAGCCTTACTGTACCAGACAGACTACTTGTTCACATTCTGCTGCATATATTACGGCAGTATAAAGTCACACAATGTAATTTGGTTTAAAAAACTACGTTTTACCTGTGTGGAATTAAAGATCCTGCAAAAAAAAAAAGACTAAAAATATTATGTTATTAACGTCTACTGCTTAGGAGGAGTGGTTATTCGTTTGAATAACCATACATATTCAAATAGAAAATGGTATTTTTACATATCGGAAGTCTCAATGCTTAAAGGATTATAGTTTATTTAAACTGTCAACTTTGTTAGGATCAACCATTCCTTAAGGCAAATATCTAATCAGCTAATCACATGGCAGTAATTCAGTGCATTCAGGCATGTTTATATGGTCAAGATGACCTGCTGAAGTTCAAACAGAGCGTCAGGATGGGGAAGAAAGTAATTTAAGCAGCTTTGAACAAGGCATGGTTGTTGGTGCCAGATGGGCTGATCTGAGTATTTCAGAGATTGTTTATCTAAACTGTGTCTGTCTCTATATGTTTGCCTTGTAACAGACTGGCGACTTGTCCAGGATGTAACCTGCCTGTCTGTGCATGTTAGCTGGGATAGGCACCAGCCCCCCTACGGCCCTGAATTTTGGTAAGCAGAACAAGATGACTGGATTACCTACTAGGATATTCCCTCATACTCATCTCCAGGGTTTGTTGATGCCAAAGGAGAATACCCAGGCTGGTCTGCACTAACAGGAAGGCAGCAGTAACTCAAACAATTGTTGCAACCAACATATTCAGAAAAGCATCTCTGAATGTGAACATGTTGAACCTAGATGCAGATGAGCTACAGTAGCAGAAGAGCCCATTGGGTGAGACTCCAGTCAGCTAAGAACAGGAAATGGAGGCTATAGTTAACTAACAATGTTCCCTGGTTTGATGATGTATATTTAACTTGTGAGACAAAACCTTTAATGTTGCATTTAAATGGCTCTCCAATTTCATTTCTTCCTCCTTTAAAAAAAAGGGCCCTTCCCCTGTATTCATAAGGAATTACCAAATGGCCCAAACCTGATTTGTAATATTCTAAACTGACTATTTTAAACCTGAATTGAGAATGTAAATTAGTCTCAATAGGGAAGTTTACTGGATCATAAGAAGAAGGCTCTGAAATGTAAATACTATTAGTAAACATTTCTATCAATAAAACATAAGCACAATTTTTACTGTATATACACTAAGTTAGTAACAGCCAAAGAAGAGTGTGTTTTAGTGATCTCAGACTGTAATTACTACAAGGTTAAAGAACAAGCCTAAAATATGTACAAAAATAATAATGCATACAAAGTAAATGCATTCAGAAATGGAGTTTAATTGGCATGATGTATCCTTTACATAGTATTCTGTAGATTAAAAATGGGGGGGGAAAGAGGACTGCATTCAGTTTTTGTTCAGTTGCTCCACAGACATGTAAAAGGAATCAGATTATTGCTGACATCATGTTCCTTGATTCCAGCAAAATGGAAAAACCTCATGCTCAGCCCGTTGGCTCAGGTTGTTACTAAAGAGCTGAAAATGAGAACTGGAGTGTATTTTTAATATAAATTCCTCCCTATTCCTACTATGCTTGTACTGAACCTCTGGACTTAAAAACATGAAAGAACATGTTGAGATGGCTGAATTATACAGAAGCTGCTCCCAACACGAAATACCACAAATATTAAAGTGTTTGCAATTAGATGATCCATTGACATTTTAATATTTAAAAAAAAAAAAAGGAGGGGGGGGGGGCAAGAAAAA